TGGTTAATTATAATTAAGACTCAACATTTCATAAAGATATGACTATTGCGGATCCGCACATTGTAATATCGATGCTGAAATGATATATTGAGCAGCCGTAACATCTATAAAGTATGTTTATTAACTGTAAATAGACAATGCACAGGGTCATATGCTTTAAATGAAACCATCAGAGTCAGATGACACTATAATAGTGCAATAAACATACACTCATGAGAAGAATCCAACTTGTTAACAGAAGTTATTTGTTTTTTTCTTTTTATAAACAAAGTTTTTCTTTTATATATTTCATACAATTTAAGGTTAAACTATTTATACGTCATATAGTTTGTATGTTTTGTTTTTGATTTACCGGTAACTTAGTTAAGTTTATACTTTAGTGTTGTTAGATGCTTTTTTTAGTAGAAGTTATGATCTTTTTTTATTAGTGTATAGATCCTTAATTAAATCTCACAGATGGAGCTGGTTTGATTTACACTTCAGTCAAAGAGGAGAAGAACCTGGACCTTCTCTACAAATACATGGTGCACAAAATATATGACTTCCAGTTTTCATCGCCTGCCTTAGTGGTGGAGAAGGACGCAGTGTTCATGTGAGATCCCTGAAATTCCCTCAACATGTTAAATGATCTTTTTATGCCAGTAATTGCATGTTCTTTGTTTAAACATAATTTCTCTGCAGTCCATCAGGATGGGACAATGACAAGAAAATTTGCATCTTGCATGAAAACTTCACAACGGTTCGACCTGAAGATCCCTTTGAGGACTTTATAACAAAACCACCTGTACGAAAGGTAAGTAAAAAAAAAAAAAAACGTAATGGCTTCACCTTAATCTTTAACTGCTTTTGTAAGTTTCCTCCTTTCTCCTTTTTTTTTTTTTCTAAAGTTGGTGCATGACAAGGAAATCAGTGCTGAGGATGAGCAGGTCTTCCTTATGAAGCAACAGGTATGTTTAGCAAGAAAACCTGCACCTAATTTAGGATATGTTTAGTTCTGACCTTGAAAGGCAGGCAAATGTACCAACTCCGATCTACTGATACGTTCTTTGATGTAGACATGCATCTCTGGCAGAGCTCTCATTTGCGTAGATGAGGTGAAATCCATTTGTATGGTTTATTTTTGCTCATTTTTCCAGAGCTGTCTGGCCAATCAGAAGCTGGTTAGTTTTCATAGGTTGACCCATGGCAGGGTTTACATCATTCTGTTTACAAACACAATGTTTGGTCACACTGCACTTCATTGTAGGTCATGTCACACATTCAGAGTGGCTCCATGTGGTTTAATCAATCGTGCACAGTGTTTATGTGAGGGGATTTTATCGAGAACAGTCTCTGACACTATATCAGGCTGCAGCGCCTGCTTTTGATTTCACTAAGAGCATTTCACCTAATTCTTTGATTTTGAAATTAAAAGATCACTGTGTGAGATTTGTCAAACAAGCATACTGTTATGAATCATCTAGTTGTACAATACTAATTTGGTCGTATTGGTTGTATAAAAGTTTTTATATAAACTTTGTGCACTGTTTAAAACTTTGGGTTTGATAAGTTTTTTTTTGTGTAAATTTAGGGAAGATGTTGTCACCAAAACTTTGTTAAAGAGCCCCCTATTATGCATTAAAAGGTCATATTTTGGTGTTGGGAGGTCTCCAACAACAGTCTGATATGCATGCATGGCCAAAAAACACTTTCATTGTTTTTTATTATGCATTTTTGTTTACCTAATTATCCCAACTCCAATATGATTTGTTCAGCGATTAATTTGTTTCTAAATGCCTCCTTAGCATGATGCTAATCTTTTCAGTCGTGATCAGTCCCACACACACACCCGCACTCTGCTAGTTTTTGAAGGAAAAGGCGCTTTTACGTTTTACCTGATCCGGCACTTCATATTTGGTTTTGATACGAACAGGCAAAAGAACCGGTTAAATGACGAATCTGATGAAGAGTCTAACCTTTTATTAAAAATCTAAATTTTTAAACAAGGTGCACTTTCAGATGTAAACCTCAGCTGGATGTTTTCATTCACTTAGAGCTGTGTTGCACACTGCAGAGAAGGTCATTTTCAAAAACCCATAAAAAGAGCTCTTTAAGTTGCTTAAATTCAAAGAAACTGTAATATTAAAAGAAATATCTCATTTTAAATTAACTATTCTTTACCACATATGTTGATATCTAATTTATTGTTATGATGACAAGCCTACGTTTTTAACCGCCATTAATCCAGTCTTTAGTGTTTACATAATTCTTTAAAAATACTCACGGTTCATCAGCTTATTACATCCTTGCTAAATGAATGCATTTATATCTTGAAAAAAATCTTCTTGACTGCAAAGTTTTGAATGGTTGCACATTAGTTATACAACCTGAAGTAGTACAGAGGTAATTACATGTCTTGTAACTGTATTTACACACTAATATTGAAGTTATTGTGTCTTAATTATCTTTATTTCAGTCTTTGTTAGCCAAGCAGCCGGCCACACCCACAAGAGGAACAGTAAGTGTGTCCTTCACATTACACAAACACACACACACACACACACACACACACACACATACATTTAACTGTGACACTATTATGCTGCTGTAAGGATTTTCTTTGTTTAAAATTCTGACGCATGAGCTGTGCAAGTTACCAAAATCCACTGAATCATTTTGCTTAAGTTGCTTTTCACATTTGTTGTCTCAATACTGTCTGAATGTGTTGGGAGATGTGAATCTATCAGATTACTTGTGTATTTTTCTGATATGTACTGTGTGTTTTAATATAGGAGTCTCCTGCCCGGACTGCGTCTGGTTCACCTCGGCCGACAGGTCGGACAGGACCCACAAATGTGGCTAGCGTCTCGCCCATGACCGCGGTAAAGAAACCAGACCCCAACATGAAAGGTAAGAAATCTTACCTTCCAAGATTACACGCACCAGTTGATGCAGAGCCTAAATGAAGCATTGTGATCTCATGGCTCTCTATTCATCTGGGCGGCACAAACAACACATGATTGTGCAGTCAAGCAAAAACTGTGTTTTCGTGGGAGTCTAAATATCAGCACTTTGTTCTCTCCCTCTCTCTTTTCTTTCTCAAACAAGCTCGTCTCATTTTGCTGGTTAGTTTCTTTGCCTACCTTATGGTGCTCTTCTAATCTCTTTGAAACACTGCCCTCCTGAGGAGAGGATTTGAATAATTCCCTAAACAATTCCTGCACAATCTAGTTGGGGTGAGGGGAAAATAGAATATTTCCTATCATTAAATCTCAGCTGGACAGCAAATCTCATACCAGCAGGACTACATTCATTCACTTAATGAAATCCACTTTAGTTGAATTCTCAGAGGTTCATATCTTATAGGGCAGGGGTTTTCAACCTTTTAAAACACATTCCCCCTCCCAATTCTGTCCAATTTCACTCGTGCCCCCCTACCCCTTGCATGTGCAAACATCATTCGCATATTACTTGCTTCGTTTAAAGTGCATAGCATTAATTACATTGAAAAGTAAATATATAGCTTACCTGATTCAGTGTGATGGCTGAGCCTGTTTCTGTTAGGACAACAAACTAATCCGTGGTTGGATTCCTGACACAGCTAACCGTAAATCATCTTCCACTGTCAAAAAGCGTGAGCCATAGCATACTTGCTTTTGATGTATTTTACGTACATGCAAAAAAGGCTGCTTTGCATAGCCAAGTTCGCAGAGCCCTGACTGATTACATTAATCTGACTAAAGTCATAATTTAACTTAATAGAATAGGAATTAAAACGTGGAATATGTATATACTAGTGGCAATCAATCAAACTATTACCGTCATGTAAGACACTTCGCTGCATTTTGCAACAAGATCCACACACACACACACACTGCAAAATGCGGAAAAATTTTTCTTTCCATTCGGTTTGCGGTATCAAATTCCATTAAAACAACACTTTTCCATCAGTCCTTACTCCATACTCGCATCCAATACCTCAGTTTGTCACGGGGGCAGGAATAAAATGTTCTTGAGTGAAAGTGAAACTTTTGAACTGCAGTTGAAGTCGACAAATTAAAGATGAAACATCAAAAATTACATGAAACTCTGCAGGAAATGTGGATTGTCTGGTCAGGCAACATTCAAAAAGCACTTCATGTAAACACCTTAATTCAGGTGTCTTATTCAGATTAAGGCAAATAACTATTACAGATGTCATGTAAACGTAGTTAGTAGTGTTTTCAAGGTAAGTAAAAGATCCAGAAGGGCATCCTGCTGATTTGATTCACAAGGGCACTTTTTAGTCAGACGGCTCACCAATTTTCCTTTCATTCACCAGTACTAATTTTAAAAAGCTCCCAGTCCATTTTATTTGTATATATCTTAGTTAAACGCATTTACTCTACAAGTACCTAATAGTTAGCTGTGGAAATAACGTTAATCAGATTCACTTTAGTGAATGCATAACAATCGTCACTATGATTTACTCGTATGCACGCCTCAAATTCTCGCTCCCCCCTTAATAGGGAAAACCCATAGGTTGGAAATCCCTGCTGTAGGGTTTCAGGAGTCATATTTCAGATATTTTAAACTAGTTCTTTTTCATAATTATTTAGTTGGTATACAGCTTACACTGTCTACACCTGGTCATTTTTTTGTGGTTGGATAGCTATCTGATTTCTGAAAATGGTTCTATTTACATTTGACACATGAACGCGTCTTTGCTTTATGCAAATTTAACTAGGGTTATGTCAACTAAAGCATCAGATATTACAGCCCCTTTTATGACGTACAAAGGCCTAAGCTATATATATTGTGTATATGAAATTTACAATACATTATAAATGAAAATGCTTTAAAAAATGAAATGAAATTTAGGCCTTTCCAGTTTTCTCTGGAATGTGTCCCAGACCACCTCTTGAAGTAGTTTGAGCAATCAGATTTATGTCCATCTCGAACTATATCCATTATTTACACCTGTCCATTTTAAGATCTAATAGCTATCCGATCAAAAACAAAATGAATGAACTGAACAGTTGTAAACAGCACCTTGGTGTTATTGAAGCCCAGCAATGCTAAATCAACAGCCCTTTATTGTTAAAATGGTGTTAATATGTCCTGTATATTAGTTTGGGCCTCTCCATTGCCACTTGATGTCATTACATTTGATTTGTTTGTGTTTATAGGAGCTGCTGCAAATGAGGGAGTGCTGGCCAACTTCTTCAACAGTCTGCTGAGTAAAAAGACAGGTGTTCCGGGCAGTCCTGGGACTCCAGGGGCAGGAGCAGGAGCAGGAACAGGAACGGGTGTACAAGGCTCTGCAAAGAAAACAGGTACATTTTTGCCAGCATTAACTATAGAAATGGATGAAACTCTCAAAAAGTTATGTCATGTATGAGTTCTGCTTCTGTCCAGAGTTACTAGAAACAAAATAGCATAAATATAATGTTGCAGTAATGAGAGTGAAGGCCTGATGACCTTTAGATTTGCTCTTGTACAGTTAATGCTTGGAAAGTTTTTTTTTTTTTTTTTTTTTTTTTAATATTCTTTAAATGAATTTTCCATGCAGTTCAATTGATTTTTTTTAACATGTGTAGTGCTGCTTTTTCCCTTATGATTTTGGTTTAAAGGCACAGTTCACTCAAAATTGAAAAACAGAAATCATTATTTACTCGTACATTAGTAGATCTAATCTTTTATCATAGTTAAGCAAAAAAAAAAGATATTCTAAAGAATGTTGGAAACTATAGTAGGAAAACATACTACAGATGTCACAAGCTGCTGCTTTTCAACAATCTTCAAAATATATTTTGCGTTCAACAGAAGAAAAAAATGTTTAAATGTGTTTGTAGCAATTGGAGGATGAGTTAAATGACATTTTTCATTTTTGGGTGGACTATTCCTTTAAATCATGGCCCATACAGTCCTTAGGGGCTTGTTTATCAGAATGTTTTAACAGTTCCTAGAACTATTGGCTCAAGCCAATACATTTCTTTTTGATTAAATGCAGCACCTGAAGTTGCAGTTGACCACCTTGTGTTGTTCAGAGTTCAGAATATTGACCTGGGGGGAAATAAGGTTTCGGGAACCTGGACCCTGGCTTATTGGCTACTTTTCTATGATTGAATTTCTGAAACTCCAGTGCAAAAGCCCCTAATGTTTAGATTCACCTTCTCTTGTTCCTTCTGGATGTGTTTATTTATTTATTTATTGAGCTTTATCCTTAGAGCCTGAATAACCAGGAAGAATGGGCTAAAAAGCCTGTGTGAGTGATGTCACCATGGCTGGTGATATCTCATACTCGCTGGTTTTCCTACCTAAAATGATGTTCATATCACACACTTTGTATTCATGTTTACAGTGCTTTCCACAAGTTTAGAAATATACTTACAGTGGTAGCCGGATTAAAACGCACCTTTTACCCACAGCACAAACTATGTGCGACAAACAAAACTTACCTTGATTTGTAATGCTATTTTTATTATTATTTATTTATTTATTATTATTTATTTATAATTATTATTATTTAAACTTTTTCATTTCAATGGGTTAAAATTAAAAGACTTGGGGAAACAAAAACAAAAAAATGATTCTCTTTTATGCTATTTAGGAGCCATGTGCACACACTGACAGCTGCTTCTCTTTATCTCTCATTCAAATTCAGGTTGCTTTATTGGCATGACGGTTTCTACAGTAGTGACAGCATTTTAAAAGGAACATATTAATAATATATACAGCAAATGAGGAATTAAATGACAGAAAAAAAATGAATAAAAACAGTCAATCTCTCTAAAAATTTATAATAATTACAAGAATGAAACATGTAGATTATTTAAATAAGACAAATGAGTTGAATACCCATTTCTAATATTTTTAAATGTTCTGCAGTCAGTTTAGATGTAATTTCGTCCTCTCTGAGTATTTAGTAGAGTTGGTTACATTAAAGAATTAATTATTTAATGTCTCTCCCGCTATCGTGGCTGTGCGCATAAAATTAACGACAGCTTAGAAAGCAAAAACAAAATCACATCCTGGACATTTTAGTACATATTAGTACATTTTAGCCTCAAACTGGATTCCTGGAGGGCTGCCGCTCTGCACAGTTTTGCTCCAACCCTAATCAAACACAGCTGATCTATAATCGAGGTGTTCAAAAGAGTCATGAGCACCTTGATAAGTTGGATCAGCTGTGTTTGACTAGGGTTGGAGCAAAACTGTGCAGAGCTGCTGCCCTCCAGGAATCCAGTTTGAGACCTATAAATTAGTAGATTTAGAAACCCTGGTTAGACCCAAATAGGTGCAGGTCTCTGTGGGTCTGCAGAACATGTGAGACCGTTTGTGGGGCTGTTGAAGCAGTATGAAACGAGTAAAGAAGAGAAAGTTTTCCACTACCTAATCACTTGCGGATGTTTGTTTATATTAGGTGGATCCAAAAAAGTATAAAAGGATAATAATAATAGTAAAAAAAAATGTCAGTAAATAATAAACCTGGGCAGCCTGGCCAAGTAAAGTCTATGTGTGGGAAGCACTGTGTTTTGTTCCAGTCATTTACATGAAATGCTAATATATTAACTCATGTATGTGTAACTCACCTGCTGTTACGGCCTTAGCGTCTACATTGCCCTCAGATAAAGAACTGCATGCTATTTGTTTTTTCTTTCTTTGTCCTTCTCAGTATGTCTGCATTTGTGTAACCACACAGCATGCTGCTTATGAATGCATACCAGCATGCAACACTCATCCACCCAAACTGGTTCCCTCATAACCAACCTGTAATATTTAGAAATACAACACAGAAACTACAGGAGATTACTCTGTTTTTGTCTTTCTCTCTTTTTCCAAGGGCAGAAGCCGGGTTTGACTGACGTCCAAGCAGAGCTGGACCGAATGACTCGTAAACCCGATTCCCTGGTAACGGCCAACAATACCCCAGCGACAGAGAACGAGGCATGAGTGCACCAACAGCATTGTCCGCTCTGGAAATCAATATGTAACGATATAACAGAGGAAAAAAAAAAGCTTTCAAGACCAAAATCCCCCCACCTTGTGTGTCAATCAGCAAACAGAGTGTGGTTTACAGAAAGTGTTGGGATTCTATCAGATGTGTGGACGCTGATGTTGTGGGGGAACGAGAGGTAGAAATATGAAAAGATGCAACTGCTTTTTTTTGTTTTCATTTCCAGCCCCCTATCTGTGTTTGTTTGTTTATTTGTGGTGATTAATTTTTGGTGTGGTATGGGAGGTCAAGTAATGGGTGCTTTTCTCCAGAAGACGACGGTTAAAACTCTCAAGTGTGGACCCTTGCTTTGCTTGGGGAACTATTAAACGCACCCGTTTCCCTCCTCCTGAGCAGAAACGCACTGCTGCATTCAACCAGCAGTCGCTTCAAGTGTTGCAATCCGCTACAACTACTGCTAAAAGCCTGAATACGTTCACTGAAAACAAGAAGTACTTGCAAAAAGAAGTATATAGTGTGTACAAACGTAGTTACGTTTATGCTGATGTATTTATAAAGAAGAAAGCAAATCAAGCTTTTATTTTCTCTGTGTTTTATCAGTGAAAGCGTCACTTAACACTGTTAACATCACTGATGTCATGACACTAATGACAAACACCCATTGGCCTTCAGCATACGAGAACGGCAGATGCCGCCACACCGCCTCTTCAAATTATGTAAATATGCGCTAAATATTTGCTATACAAGCTTTTGATTTGATTTTGTATAAAATTTAATTATTTTAACAATTTATGAAGAGCTATTGCAGATGAAACGAGTATCAGGCTGAGCATTTTATTTAGGCTGTGGTTTCGTTTTTGGAGGAGAGCGGCAGGACGGCATCTTTCCTAGTATAACTCCCAAGTGCCTGTGTCATAGTGGAGGTGCTTGTCTCCAAAAGACGAACTGCACTGTAGCATCAACAGTCAATGGTTCTTTTTTTGGTGCAGCTTCATGTAATTTATTTTGGTTTGTGTTTTTCCATGTCTGTGGTCATTGCTTTTTTTTGCTTAAATTACACATGTTGCTTACTTCAGTGGCCTAGATCCTTTTCCTTTTTGCTGCCATAGGGAGCTTGCCTTTCTTTTTGTGAATGTCACAATCTTAGTGGGGCTTTTCATCCCACCTCCCAGTTTAAAATTGTGGTTTAAACCACTAGCACCATTTCTCATGTGGCCAAGTGACAGATTGTTCGTCATGTCAGTCCTTAAACATGTCTTGTTTCTTATATATATTCATACACAGCTTCTTGAGGACTGTATAGAGATCAACGTAAAACATTCCCCCTTCTATTTTTAAGTGTCTCTGCTTTGTGATCTTTCTGGAAGTGATGATATTGCCTTCAGTGTATTGTCATGCCACAAGCTCTGTCTTTTCACTCAGGGTAGAGTCTGAGTCCATACATGTCCGCCTTCATTTCTCAACATTTCTATTCACTACTGATACTGTAACTCATTGAATTTCGATTTCTGGTTTAGCTTAACTAATCACCCGCAGGCATGATGTACGGTTTTGAACCTTAACGTTGTTCTGGCGAAGCTGTAAAAGAAGCAGCTCGAGTGGATTTGAAATAATCGTCGCGTGTTCAGATGAAAAAGGAAACCGAGAATTGGAATCTGGAACCAAAGATGTAGAATCCACATGTTATGTCTATGTCGAGTAGCTGCCCTGAACTCCTCCCAGGTGGCCGATCTTGGCTGAGCCTGGAGAAGCCATCATTCCACAACAGATCCTCTGCTTACTGCGGTGGTCTGTGTTCGATGTCTCACATTTTTCCATTAGAGTTTAAAGTTTTTGTCCTTTTTCTTTGTAAGCGCTTCAAGGGAATAGACCACAAACGTGTAGCGTTTACTGTTGTTTTGCATGCACTTGTGTTAGACAAATCTCAAACCAAACTAGAGGAACTCGAATGAAACGTTTATTGCTGCATAATATCGCTTAACGGTTTCCATTTATGACGGGCAGGGCTAAAGCATTTGCTGATATTCAAGCACAACATTAAGTCTGGACTATATACCTCTTGGTTTAGTGGTTAAGGTTTTCATCCATTTTAGATTGTGGGCTGTCAACTTATGAAGCCTCAGATCACTTGTACTATTCTAAACCGCTCGTATAACCTTAACAATGCACTTAAAGTATTTCATCACATTTCTCTGCGTTTGCTGTGTGACTGAACTCTCATCGTCTAAATATCACTGACACATTCCTCTGGAAAATACCTCTTGATTGAGGTTTATTATTATTTCATGGCGTTATAACTGTTTTACTGGACGTGAAAAAGAAATTCTGTTATACTGTAAAAAGCAGCACATTTGTTTCCCTCCACAAATTTGCCTCATTTTTAAGTAGTGGCTCGGTGCAAATCTAGACATAATGGGCTAAGAAATCGAAAAGCTAACAAGCTGCTCCCAGGTCGCCTCAAGTACTTGAAAAAGCTTCCTAACTCATGATCCATCTGTTTTCCCAAAGGAGACGCTCAACGGATAAAAGGGTGGCCGTCAACAGAAACCAGTTTACTTGGCCTCAGCTTCATTGATTTCTTTCCCTCGTTTTGGGGAGGGTTGCAGTTAAATAAACAACAGCACATTTTGTATGTATTTCATTCAGAATAGGATGAAAGTCGACTGCTTTTTGTTTAATCCTTCTAATATGCACTTACCCCTGTTAGTAAGAAAATGTTGAGAAAATGCTCTGGCTTCCAAAATTTTCTATACAGGAATTGAAAAGCCTTTCTATTCACACAGAGGACTGTGTTTGTGTGCTATACCTTAAAGTGAGTCTGACTGTATGGCTTTAACTTGATGCAGTATGTGGCCATGTGAGTTCTTGCTTTTATTGCAAAGATAAGGAAATGTCTTTTTTTCAGTCCTGGCTTAAATAAAATACAAATCCAGACTACAACTCTCTTGTGTTGTTTTATTATTATTATTATTATTATTACTATTTTGCTTGTCATGCTTTGCAGTTAATTGCTTGGCAGTTGAACAGCAAATGCATCACACCACCAATGAAAACCTTGACACGTTTAATATTTTATTCATCATTGCTTGCTGGGATCATTTCAAGCAAACTTGTCAGATGGTTGCACAGTCATGAGAACCAAACCAGTGGAGGGCAGTGCTGTTCTCCCCGTATAAATTTGCTTGGTTTAGATATTAAAATAAAACGTGTACTTGCATTCATTGATGCATGTAATAATAAAGACGCACTTTTAACATATATTTATGCATTATAAGAGATTAATAAATACTTCATGAAACAATTCTTAGCAAATGTTATGATTGATATTAATCGTTTATTCTGTTAAATCAATCTGCTAATGAGTCTCTGCATAATAAGCTGGAAAGTAGTGAAACATTGGAAAAAAAGAAGTGCTCCAATACCAAATTTGCTGTCTAGGAAGACCGTTGTAGAGTTTAGAAACAGACATTGTGGCAAGCCAAATTAACATTTGTTCGTTTAGTACACTTGTGTTTATATTAACTAAACAAGTGTCATTTTCTATTAGTTTTAATAGTTAGTCTTGTAATATGATCACTTTATTATTAAACAGAGAACGTTGTTTTGTATATTTTACCGAGATGATGCAAATGTGTTGACCTTATCCCGCCTCCCTCAACCCCTCAAGTTTCTGCATTGGACGTTAAAACTGTAGTTTCTTTTTCAGCATGCCAACACTGAGCTGTAAATTTTGGGTGTGACTTCAACTCTATGCGTGCACACAGACCAACTTCATTTTAAGTGTTAAAGCTTGTCTAGTTATTTTAGCTGCACTTGTATTCTCATCTATGCGCATACCTGCATGTTAAAATGTAGGGTATATATGTACATCCATACATGCATGCGAGCGCGCACATGTTGGTATTTGTGGTTTAGTAGGACTACCCGTAAGTGTAATGTATTTTATACAGTAAAAATTGCTTATCATATGGCCTTAGCCCAGCTAACCTAACCCTTACAGCAATTCTGGGGCAAATGTTAAATTTAAATAGACCCGTTATGCTTTTAAGTGTTTTGAATTACGAGGACATGAGATATGTCCTCATAAACCACCTCAAATGTTGTAATACCTCATGCATAACTGTGTCATTATACAATATTGTGTTCATGTAAACCATCCAAACCAGCGTGCGCACAAAAGCTAACTATGATAAGCAGGGACGTGCAGTATTTGTGATACGTTTCAAATACATATTTTAAATACAAAATAGTATTTTGTAATTTGTACTTATTTGATAGGGTTTAAAAAAACGGGTTCATATTTTGTATCACATTGAGTAATGAAGTTTGTCCTGCACACTCGCCGTTTAAAAAACTTTTGGTGCATTAATCTCGTCAATAATATTCAAAAGGTCATGATTTGCACTCATTAAATAATTGCTTTGTACAGTTTTTATTTTATATTCTTCAGGTGATACAAAACACAAACGTTTCAGCACAATGCCTTCCTCAGTGTCACACAATCCTCTCACTTTACCCTTTTGTCCCACAGTCAATCACATTGCATCATTAGTTGGATGTACCATAATTTACTACACAAGAAATATCCGTTTGACTTTCATTGTATTGATGTTGACATGAATAAGTGAATGATGATAAATGAAATGCTATTTTCCTGTGAAATGATGTTTTTGAAGGTGAAGGTAAATATTTCTTGTGTAGTTAATTTTGGCATATTGAAATGAAAATGAGGTTGTTTTTAATCATCGAGTGGCCGTTTAACTAATGGCGCAATGTGATTGACTTTGGGACAAAAGGGTGGAGTGAGAGGATTGTGTCACACTGAGGAAGGCATTGTGCTAAAAAGTTTGCTTTGTATCACCTGAATAATATAAAATAAAAACTGTATGAAGCAATTATTTGATGAGTGCAAATCATGACCTTCTGAATAATATTTTGTATCAAAATACTTAAGCATCTTGTATTTTTATTTGTAAGATGTCTACATTATGACAATCAAAATGTGGCCTCTGCTGCTTTCTCAGTTATTTGTTTTGAGATCAGAACAGAAATTTAATTAGGGTGGTGGTCAGTGCTTGAAGTATGGAAATTATGCAACACGCATAAAGACAATAACAGACAAATGGCAGGGGTATATCTGAGTACTAGTCAACAATCAGTGAAAATCGTATACTGCACAATGCCTAGACCAGTATTTTGTAATGGCAGTATAGTGTACAATTCAGCATCAGCATACTGAGACTCTTCCGGTTAAAAGAGAACTGAAAAAATCTTGAGAGATTGCGAAAACTGCACATATAATAGTAGTTTTGGGTGAATTGCTGATTTAGACGCCAAGAAAATAAGACAAACAACATAAAAATAAGTCCTACAGTGGCTGACTTAAACTTGCTCAGAGAACAGCTGTTGTTATCAAACATTGTTTACTTCACTAATTCAGCTTAATGTTGAAGGAATTGATCGAATATGCCTATTAGGATGTGAAGAAATCTTATAATCCCATGTAAAAGTATTTTGTGGCAGAAATACAAAATATCTATTTTATTTTAACACTTGGGTGCTGTACTTTGTAATGTATTTAAATACATGTAAAATTTAGGTGTTTGGTATTTAATTTAAAAATACATTTCAATGTAACCCAACCCTGATGATAAGTCCCTAATTAATTGCATTCCTACAAAATTCACCATCTTTTAGCTTGACTTTAAACAATAAATGTTACTTCGGCGTGCCATACGGTCATATTAAACTACCGTGTGTCGTCTCACGTTTGATGAATCACACATACAGCGATCCTCACCTGCAGAACTCAGAGAGGAGAACTCGAAGCTGAAGAGGAATGCCAGTTTTGTGCTTTTGTTTCTCTGACATCAGTCGTCGGGACTCCAGATGAAAGCGTCTTTTCCTCGCAGGAATGTAGTTTGGAGGGCGGAGACTCGCAGCAACATTACATTCTGCATCCAGAAACTGTGAAATATGGACACTGCCATGAGAACAGCGGCGATCGTTCGAGCTCGTTCAGCTCTGTTCATGACTGGATCCGAGCACTGTACGGCGCCAGGAACGGGACCGGAGATCACGGAGTGGTGGATGTAGTTGTTCGGGATCCGCGGGTCACGCTATTAACACACGGCTGGAGTTTACGCGTTGTGTAGCGACGCTTGTTCTTTGTTGAGAGATTGTTGTTGCGTTCTGCCTGACTGTTTTCAGAGGAGAGAATCGCTCTTAATTTCGGCCACTCTTGTTTCTTGGGCGGGACGAAGAGATAAATAAAAGAGTTGAGCATGAGGAATAACGAGGAGACTGAGGGCTTTGATGGCGAGGCCTCCAACACCTCGATGATTTCAGGAGTCAATAGTCCGTATCAGCCGACCACCGAGCCCGTGCTCTCCAGAAACGTGTTCAGGGCCATCAGGTGTGACCGGGAGTACCTCAAGTCACATTTTGGAATTTTAAAAGTCATTGAAGTGGTAAGTTGAAGTAGTCTTGGTCTTTCTCTATTCAATTAAAAACTTATGAGCCTGCTTTGCATGCTGAACTTCAGCAAAGTGTATTGGCAACAGTGACTTGACAAGTTAGGATGTTTTCATCATCAACAGCGTCATTGATGAATTGTGTTTTCTTTCTTTCTTTCTTTCTTTCTTTCTTTCTTTCTTTCTTTCTTTCTTTCTTTCTTTCTTTCTTTCTTTCTTTCTTTCTTTCTTCAAATACCTTGACATTATACTTATGACTCCTGTGGTTTTATTTAAATACCTTATAATACACAAAAAATCTTGGTTGCCTCAAATTTTCAAGCTCAATCATATTAACCCTATGAGTCCATTAAACTTATTTTATTTTAAACTGACTTAAATCTGCTTGCATAACTTATAAAATTAAGTTAGAACATGATTAACAATGAACTAAAATATATGCTGTCATCATGACTAATTGACCATATTAGGCATGGGCCGATAACCGTTTTCAAGGTATACCTTGGTTTGAAAAAGTCAAGGTTTTAAAACCGCTTAAATTTTTGGCTATACCGTTCCTATGGTATATGTATGATCTTTTATTTACTTGGAAAAAAATAAAGTTTTTAGAACTAGAGTATCTCAAGCAGAAAAAAAATATCCAAATATGCAATTTTAAATTGTAAAAATATCTGTGTTTTTGAAGACAGCAGAAGTCAGTGATTTATTTGCATTATTCAGCCTGACATGTTCACTGCTCCAAAATATTTTTTTTCAAATAAATATATTGTTGTGTTCAAAGGGGGAAAAAAGTTTTACGTTTTTACCCAGACATTTAAAAAGAATATATTTTAGAGCAGTAATCACAATACTGTGGAACCATGATATTTTTATCCAAAGTTATCATATCATACTATCTAAATCTTATACCGGCCCAAGTTCATATAATTTTAATCAGCCTTTTAGTTACAAAGACATGGTTTTACTTCTCAAGTTAATGTTTATTATTATTATTATTATTATATTATTATTATTATTATTACTACTACAATATGGCATAAAGATTGACCATATTTAGTCCCTGATAAGCTTTTTTTGTCAAATTCATTACAAATAAATGAAATTGTTTGGAAGTTGTATATTTTGAGACCTGGAATTGTTGCCCACAACACAATTTCTTTAGTATTTATTTCTTAAAATATCTTAGCTCCCTGTTTTTATAATATATGTAATAACAAGATGTCCAAAGTTTCTTTCTTTCTTACCCTTACTGCAGGCCACAGCAGATATTTTTCCACATATTTGTTTTATATGTTCCTCCGTCATTACATTTTTCTCATGTTAAACTTACAGTTAAACCATTAAACTTACCGTTAAACTTACTACCGTTTTCAAGGTATACCATGGTTTGGAAAAGTCAAGGTTTCAAAAACAACAAAAAATTCTGTAATACCTATGGCATATGTACAATTGTTTATTTATTTATTGTTTTTTAGGACAACACATCTACAGCAGAAAATACATCCAAAGATGCTGTTTTAAATCGAAAAGAAATGTAAATTGTAAAGAAATTGTAAAGAATCTGTGTTTCTGAAACTTATGAAGACAGCAAAAGTCAATGATTCACTTGAATTATGTAGCCTGACATGTTTACTGCTCAAAATATTTAAATGTTTCTCAAAATAAAATTTATTGAGTCCAAATTGGATTTTTTTTTCACCCAGACATGCAAAAATAACTTATTTTAGAGCAGTAATCACAATACCGTGAAACCGTAAATATATTTATCCAAGGTTATCATACCGTCAGAATCTTATACCGGCCCATGCCTAGTTAAACATTAGTGTAATCAAGACCGATTTCTTATTTTTAAAGTAGCCTATTTACTTCAAATCAAAATATTCAAGACAAGACAGTAATGCCTTTATCATCCAAACGGTGACAAAAAAATAGAGTTTTTCCACATTGGATAACAGATCTTCATTCCACATATTTCACTTAGATATTCACTCATGATTAGTTCCTCATATTGGATTAGTGCGGGGACGGCAGATTTCCTCTTTTTGGGTTTTTTATATCAAAATATTTCCTGTTGGATACAAGCCGACATGCGTCAAAATCTCTGGAATGCATCAGTGACGGAGGAGAATGTTGCCTGGAGTTTGAATGAATTAACTTTCAGATTGTACTTCTGTCCACTTAATTGGCAAAAATAATAATAATAATAAAAAAAAAAACACAACACAGGGCCACTATGGGCACACAAAACAAAAACTCAGAGGCTTGTGTACCCCAGCCAGATGTTGAAAAAGGAGTGTGGAGCATAAGAAGAAAGAAAGAGAGAGAGAGAAAGAAAGAGAGAGAGAGAAATACGACTTTCTGTTGTTCTGCTGGCTCAGCAAAAGCAAAGCATCTCAGATCGGGCCCTCATGGTGATGCACATTTAAGAAACTGCATGCATGGGGGAAAAAACGGAGCAAAACTAAGGAAGTCATTAGGTGAAATAAGGACTTGTGGACGCTGCCAAAAGAAACAACCTGTGAGCCAAGTACACAAGATAGCTTGTCTGCTAAAAGAATGTTTAATGAATCCTGTTTTTCTGCTTTTGTGTTCATCTTTGAGTCTACAGCCAAGTTTTAATTGGATTTATGACATGATGAACACAATAGCTGAGATATTGGAGAACATGCTTTTGTCTTTGTGAACACTATGCATGGCTTTGTTTTTTGTGCTTTTTTATGTGAACCCAGAAGCTTCATTTGCTTGTGGAGTCAAATTACAGGTAGTATAGTAATGCTCTATTCAATGCTGAACTGAAACCAGTTTCCTCAATCTAAAGTTTGGTTTGTGTGGGACATTTAAACTCCCAATTTCAAGACTAATGTCATAATTGTGAGAGAAATTTGAAATAATTATTTTTATTTTTCAATTTTTTTGTGGGGTAAAATGTAAGGTGTAAATCACAGCTACACTTGGAAGCTCATTTACTCTACAAAATAGATAAATAAAAGGTAATAGCTTTTTCATTCTTCTACAGTTCCACATTTTTGATTCAAAATTGTGCAACTCATCGTAAAATAGGGTACATGCACAGCTAGTGTTTTTTTCCCCTACCGAAAACTTGAATGGTGAATAGTTCATTACTTTTTTTCAATTTTCTTCTGTTCCTTTTTTAGAATCGATGTTGTAATGTAATTAAAATATAATTATTTCATTTAGTTGTTCAAGTGTAAAACGAGATGAAAAAGCCGTTTACACGCACACGCTGTCAGGATCAGCAGGCTTGCACAGAAACTCCACTGAGTGAAATAAATGTTCATATTTTTGCTGGCAGCTAGCTCTCTTCAACTCTCACACGGTCGCTCACTGAAGCTAAGCAGGGCTGTGCCCGGTCAGTACCTGAATGGTAGACCACATGGGAAAGCTATGCTGCTGCCGAAAGTGGTGTTATGGCTTGTTTCCATTGATTGGTCCAGTACGGTTCGATACGGGCCATCTTTATCAGGCTTGCGTTTCCACTACCAAAAGGATACCAATGGTTTTGGTGGGCGTGGTGTACGGCAGAAAGTTTCACTCGTTGTCATTCTTGCTCGAGAAAATGTCAAAGTAAAGCTGTACTGGTCGTTCACATAATATGAGAAGCACTTCTCACAAAACAGATGCATTATACACATAAATACTTGTGTATAAATGTTCATTACTAACCTTTCTATAAACATGACTGGATTTTAACTGCAAATCAATGATGACAAAATAGCCTACTGTAACATCTACAATTATATAAAATAAATAAATGCAAGAGATATGAACACATACAGTCCCTTACAGCCTCCGATATGTTATCAATTACGGTACAACTACACACAGCATACATTTAGTCCTTATTTGGGTTCAAAAACAACACACAACATATAGTCACTGTCAGTGCAAACCTCTCGTCTCATCTTTAATCTCCACCAGCACATGTAACCTCTTGTTAGAAAGTAATTTCGTCACTCCGAATTCATAATAATCCAAAAGGTGATGATAAACATGGCAGTTTCTTCATGTATTTAGGTGGCTGAAAAAAGTAATTTGTTCCTTTGTTTTTTTTCGCACGCCACTCTTGTGTTTGTTCGTTTCTGAAAGGATTGGATGTTAGAAGCACTTCAATAGTCATGTACACATTATCATCAGCTCAAGAAGTTTCTTGTTTTAAATAGACACGCGGTGAGCAATTACAAAAAAGCAAAACCGCTCGTGCTTTATACAACTATGGGGCACAAGGTAGATTCTGCTCTTCTTCTTGGCTTTGTGGCTGTTCATCAAGACGATGACAAGGTTTGTTTAAGCTGGGGTCGACCATGGCTTGTTATTAATGTCTCGGCTGCGTACTTAAAAATGACACTTCCTTTGTTTTTATTCTCCTGCCTTGTGCATGAGCTTTAGTGATGCTTCTCTGTAAACCAATAGCAGTCAGCTGCACGTCTTGCTCCAACTTCTGGTACCCTTTTGTTGTGCTAGATACCCTTCCTGAAAG